TAGTAATATTATATTACGAGTTTTATAATATTCTAGTGATGATAATGATAATATTTTTGTTTATATATGTGTGTGTGTGTGTGTGCATGTGTGAAGGAGTATAGTTTAGGGTTTTATTACATCACTCTCTGATACTTACTTAAAATAAATAAAAGATTTCATGAAAATCGGTCCAACCGTTTCGGAGGAGTTTGGTAACAAACTTTGTGACACGAAATTTTTATATATTAGATTACATTATTTATGATATGTGTATAAAAATAAATAATATACTCAAAAAACAGTAAAGTTTTAATGATTAAAATATTTTGAATAACGATTGCGTCATAATAACTAATACCAATCAACAGCAAAAATACTGTTGTTTTAAGAATTGTAAGTGTCTATTATCTACAAGTATTAATTTTTAATTATAACTGTAAATGAAGCTATAGCTCTATCTTCTTACTAAAACACTAAATCCAATTATAATTAGTTAGGTATCAAAAAACCACCCTCAATTTAAAGATTAAACTATTAATTTTTTTTTCTTAAAAAGTATTTTCAGACACAAAATTCAATAAAAAAATAAAAATACACATAGTAAAATTAACTTACTTATTGCCTCGTTCAGAATCTAAAATATGTATTCCTATAAAATTACATTTTTGTTTTTAGTTTTGATAAAATACTGAACTAGAGCCTAATTGTGGTAATGAGGTAAATTAAAAAAAAAAATAACTTAAGCTGGATACGTTGAATGTGTATTTAATAAAATATGCATGTAACATTATAAACTTATTAAAATTTTTAATTTTTAACGATGTATTAGCATCACTAGGAATTAATTGTACCGAACATTTGAGAGCGAAAAATATTTAGAGTTATACCGACGAGACGAGTATGTAACACCATGTAAAAGTCTTATAATTCAAGTGTTGAACGTTAATTTAAAATAATATATTATTTAACTATGTGTTAACTGATTAATTAAAAGACATAATGTCATTAAACTTTAGGAATGCATGAATTTATGAAATAAAAACAGTCAAACATATTCTAAAAATAAAACATTGTACAAATATGCATGAAACATTTAGGTATATTTAAATACAAAAATATTTACCTAGAATACTGACAATATTCATTTATTTTTTTACAAAATATTTATTCAAATTTAAATTATAATTTAACAAATATTTTATGTGAGCCTCCTTTTAAGTTCACGTCACGATGAACCTAAGTTATTCACGAGTAAAGAAACAAATAATTAACCAAAGATTTTGTTTTCATTTAAATGATTAATAAAACATGAACATTTTTTATGCTCTTTGAAAAATGTTTGTGTTTAAAATTAATTTATCTTGTAAGATCTGGTAGAGAGGCGCCATCCTACAAATTATTATACCATTGTTTCGAGGTAATAATGGTGATGAGCATTCATTAGATTATCTTAAATTTAAAATACAGGTATTAATGTAAAACTTTTATCCATGAGCTTAGCACTGAAGTGGTTATAATGCCTAGCACGAGGCTAGTTATCACTTATCTAAACGTGTTTAATTGGAGTGAAAAATCTGCTGGTAAATTCGTAATGATTTTAGCAAGATTTTTTTCAACTTAACAATAAAGATAATGAATTTAAGCAAAAAATATTAAAACTGGTGTTACTTCAAAAGCTAAGCTCGTCGTATTAATATAAAAAACCATTGGTGCCGACTGTCAATTGAATCAGTTAATTTTATTTATTTATTTACGTATTGTCGTTAATTATTGATATTATTAACTTAATACTAGAATTTATAACCAAGGATACTATGGTAAGGTATTAAGTGGGGAAAAATATACTCAGAATAAGTGAAGTTCAATACTATACTGTAACAATAAAAAAAATAAACTAAAATACTAGATTAATTAGACTATCACGTGTCTATGATAAATTTATAAAAATACACATCTTTTATAACCAAGTGTCAGTGATTATTTTTATAATTAAGTATCTTTATACGAAATAATTGCTTTAACCATTAATAAGTGATTAGGTTCTTGAATATATTATCCTTTGTTTTTTTTTCTTATTCAACACATTACATGCACTCATATAAATAGAGAATATCATTCATGGCAGTGCAGTTATTGGAACATTTTACAATTATACACAGCTTACAGTTTTCTTAAACATTCATTAAAATAGTGCTATATTACACCATAGTTCTAATTAAGTGAATCATTTTTGGTTTAAATTGTCTTGTGATTTTTGTAAGTTTAAAATTTATTATACATTATTTAGTTAAATTAAAAATGTTTAAATAGGTAGCAAAATAAAATTTTATGAATTTAAGTACTATAGAGTTAATTTTAAAAAATTAAACAATATTTTTTGATTAAATTAATTTAATTTTTTTTACTATTTTAATTTTATTTGTTTAAGACTAATGTAAAATTAAAAAAAAAAAAAGAATATTTAAATATCATAATTTATAAATTAAAAGAAATTAGAGTAATAAAATTTAAAAAGTAATAAAAAAAAAATGATCAAATTCCAAAATATTGAATAAAAAAACTAATGTATATAAATTAATGTTAATGATTAAGAGACCATTACTTTCAACATAAATAATGATCACATAATAAAATAAACTAAAAATAGTTCAAATATTGGTAAATTAATTTAATGTTTGTTTAACATTTTTAACATACTATATTTTTTCAAAGCTACACTTCCGTTTTTTCTGTATATGAATGTAATATAATGTAAGTAATAGAATAATAATATATATTTTATTTTTTCAGGACCTTTATTATATTTCGAGGCAAAATGAGGTCATTTGATGTGCTGTTGCTTTTGATGATAGCATATACATGCGTAACAGTGAACGGTCTATATTTTCGAGTCAACAAATCGATTGAAAGTAATTGGTGGTCGAACACAATAATGTATCAAGTGTATCCAAGATCGTTTAAAGACAGTAACAAAGATGGTATAGGTGACTTAAAAGGTATTTGTATACGAATTAATTAATTAATAAATAACAGAGAAAATCTCAAACAACTTTTATTAATTGTGTACAAAATGTTCAGGTATTACACAGAAACTAGATCATTTTACAGATCTTAATATAGAGACAATATGGATTGGTCCATTATTCAAATCACCTATGGATGATATGGGATATGATGCAGAAGACTTTAGAATGATAGACCCAGTATATGGTACAATGGACGATTTTAATGAATTAGTTTTAGAAATGAAGAAAAGAAGTAACTGTCATCTAAAAGTCAAAACAATAGTACATTGAAATTGATAAATAAATGTAAATATTTCTTTTTAGATCTTAAACTTATAACTGACTTTATACCCAATCATTCAAGTTATAAATGCGAATGGTTTCAAAAATCAATAAAACGAGAAGGAAAATACGCAGACTATTACGTGTGGCGTAACGCTTCAAACCAAGAGGAAATAATGAGTAATTCTTCGATAAAGCCAAGACCGCCAAATAACTGGGTAAAAACAATTTATTTATTTCAGAATTACATTTATCTAAATACTATTATATTGGTAGTCTTATCGTTTCTTAAAAGCAATTTATTAGATATTTATTGAAACTAAAGCTTTAATACATAATCATGAATTTAATATTAGTTATCTAATTATGCAGAAAAAGTTAAAATTGTTTTTATAGTAATTATAAATATTGTACGAATATTGAATGTTTCACAGTTAAATGTATTTGGAGGCTCTGGCTGGACTTGGAATACTGAACGAAAACAATTTTATTATCATCAATTCAGTCCAAAACAGCCGGATTTTAATATAAGAAACTCCGATGTTCAAAAAGAATTGTTGGTAAGTAAATAAAAAATAATTAAGAGTACTTCTTGTACATATACATAACCTCATTGACCAAATATAATAATCAAACCTTATATGTATATAACATACAATATTTATATGTTCTCATTTAATTTATAATTCAAAATGATAAGTTTAACGCTCTTCTTCTGTTCACTTTATCTTGTACAGTGTAATAATTTATATAAGTAAATACAAATCCATGTATATATTGTTACATCTAATGGCCACAGCAGCCGCGGATTGTTTATCTAATAATAAAAAAAAAAAAATAATAACATATTAATGCACTTTTAAGGCGAATCACCAATAACTTGGTTATATTGTCATTGTTTTTGTTATTCTGCTTTGATCAAAATATAAGTAGTTATTATTTATATTTTCTAATGTGAATTTAAATCTCGCTGATATTATAATGTTTTAAAAAAACCAGATAATGAAAAACTTATTAAACCTTTATTGAATAAACACAATTAATATTTAGAAACTCAAAACTAGTATTTGAAATGTTACGTCAGTAGGTAATACGGGAGAAAAAATCAAATAAATGAATTATTCCTATTTCATTATCATAATATATTAATTGTGCACGTTTATTGAAGGATATAATTGAATTTTGGATGGATAAAGGCGTTGTTGGATTTCGATTTGATGCTCTCCGGCATTTATATGAAAGTGATTCTTTTCTTAATGAAACTTGTTTAACAAATCAGGACGAATGTTCTACAAACTACGATAGCTTGAAACATACATATACAATAGATCAACCAGAAACCATTGATATTCTTATGGAATGGAGAGAACACATAGATAATCTAACGAGATTGAAAAATATATCAATTTCCAGGTAATTAAAGATATTAGAATGTTAACTTAAAAATGACTTCTTATCTTCATTTTTAATTCGCAGTTTTATTAAAAAATTCTCATATTTTTAATAGTTTTATAGCCACAGAATCCTACTCACCGATAAATGTATTAAAGCAATACTACGGAAATGCAACAAAACCTGGTGCTCAAGTACCGTTTAACTTCGGGTTAATAGTTCTTGATAAAAATAATATAATCGAATCAATAGAAAAAGTAATTGGAAACTGGCTAGATAATATGCCTGAAAACCAGGTGGCCAACTGGGTGGTAAGTGTTTTAAATTAAATTATTTTTAATGAAATATTAAAAACAATACTTATTATACTAACATTCAAACACTATTATTTTATATCGTATTGTTTGACAACTGTCATATAATTTAAACGAATTCAATTCATTTACAGATTTATAATGACTATGGTACCTATATGATTTTGATTCAAAATTTTTTTTAGGTTGAAAATCATGACAATCCTAGGTTGTCAACACTATATGGTGCTCAAATGGTTCCACTCTTTACAGCTTTAAAATTATCTCTTCCCGGTATAGAAGTTACATACTATGGAAGTGAAATTGGTATGGACAATACGTATGTAAGACCCGATCAAATAAAAGATCCTAATAATTCGGCAAAAGGAACATCGTCTACGTCTAGAGATTATGAAAGATGCCCAATGCAATGGGATAGTTCAATAAACGCAGGTATAACATAATTATTGCACAAAACTATTAATGCTTAATTTGAAACAAATATACTTTCTATATATATATTTTAAATATTAGGTAATATATCAAAAATAAATCTGTTCGAAAAAATTCAATGGAGCTTTAATTATCTTCAGAAAATTATCATGTTAATACAAGCGTTTATATGTTATAGAATGCAATGCGTTACACGATAATATAAAATACATAATATTAACGAATTTTCACAACTATAAGATTCGTAATAACACAGTTAAATAGAATAATACATTTTAATGACTGCTTGTAAATAATAACTTTTAAACTTCGCTTGAAATTTCGAAAATGGTGTATTCCTTACTTAATCCCACCTTATATACAATAATAGAAAACAATTTACCTTTACATTATTTTAAGGCATGGAAAATACGAAACAAATGAGCACCAAATTTTAAAAACATATTATTTATACTCTAATAGTAATATAAATTTATATTATGTCGTACAAAAATCAAATTGTTTTCAGTAATTTTTTTTTTTTTTTTGAGATCCACTGTTCCACCGTTAATTTTAAAATTAAATAAAACTCAAATACAACTAAAATGTGATTGTAAAATAAATATATTATGTTTGCAAAAACTACGAGAACTATTTTAACCAAAAATTCAAGGATTATTTGTAAAGTTTAAGAAGTAGTTGAAACTATGATTAAATTACTATAAATCTATAATCAAAGTGGATACTTAAAATAATTATACTAACCGTTTAAAAATGATTTTAAACCGAATAATGTTTTCATAATAACATTTAATTTGTACTCCATTGAATGCTTTAGGATTTACCGAAGAAAAGCAACCTTGGTTACCAGTAAACCCAAATTATTATAAAGTTAACGTTGAAGATCAGAAAAAAATTCCAACTAGCAACTATAATTTTTATAAAAAAATGTCTCAACTTCGAAAAACCGATACATTAAAAAATGGTGATCTTCAGACATATAATATCACTAAATCGATTTATATTTTAAAACGGTAATCATATTTCAAATTGTTTATAAAATAACGTTGTTTATTCTTTTTGTTAATTGATTTTAGTTTATTTTATTTTCTTTTCCAGGTCATTATTGGAACATGAATCGTATTTGGTCGTAATGAATTTTGGCAGTGAAACTGAAACCGTCATATTGTCCAATGTCGTGAATGACCTCAAAAACGAATTATACGTATATTTAGGAAGTGAAAATTCCATATACAGACCAGGGTAATTGGAATTTTTGAAGAAAAAAAATATTTTTTCATTACAACTAAACAGTTTTAAAATTTTTTTTTTTACTAAATTTTTTGCTATTTCTCTTTTAGAAACATCGTATCAACCGTATCATCGTCTGGCAATCCATTAACACTAAGACCACAATCTGTAGTCGTATTAACAGATAAATATATTGCAACTGAAACACCGACAAT